AGGCCTCGCTCTTGCTGCCAGTGTCTGGCGCTCGGGAAGTTTGAACAGTACCTTGGGGATGAGTCGGAGTCACCGTTTGAGGCTTGCTTTGCTTCCCTTGTGAGTCAGGATTGTGTCAATGGCACCAATCACAAAGAAGCTGAACTGGTATTGAGCAATGTATCCAGAAGTTTCTGGATATCATAGGACATAGTGTTTTGTCCTACAAAAAAAAACTGTTGTCCGTCCAGAAACCAGAGCAAGTGGTGAAAGAGGCCGTCTCAGAACGAAGACATAAATTGCAGCAGAAAAACGCGCTGGCCCAGGAGCATCTGACAAAGCTGAGGCACAGGCCACCGGCGCTTCAGGACATCAACGTGCGGCACAAAAAGCTGGCAGAAACCCAGGCCTCCTTGGCCTACCTCGACCAGGCCTCTGCCGGATCCCTGTGCCCTTGAAGTTGACCTGGGTGAGCCCTGGCCTCGCGTAGGGACGTAGGGATGGGGCATTTGGGAGAACTCCCGGCTCAAGAATGAAATGATGCAAGAGCCACAATTCCCCCACCACCACGCTGCTATTTTTCTGAGCTGTTATTCTTGAGTACATTTGACATAGCAACTTAAATATTTTTGTCTTTATAGTACAATTTAGGCCCTTAATATGATGATACAGATTTTTTCTTACATTTTATTTTTATTTTTCTGTGACATCATCTTGGTGTGTTTCCATTTGTTAAATTGTTATGGTGGTGCGCGCCTGTAATCCCAGCACTCAGGAGGCTGAGGCAGAAGGATCATTGCAAGTTCAAGACCAGCCTGGGCTACAAAGTGTGCTCAAGGCCAGCCTGAACTGCATAGCAAGACCCTCAAAAAGATTTTTAAAAAGAATAGATCTAAACGAAAAAGATTACAACAATGCGAGAAGCAGGGGATAAGGGGTTTGTCTGTAGGCCTTTTACAGTAACTACCCGTCCATGGTAGTATAGAAAAATATAGAAATTTGCTGTTTCAAGAGTGTAAAGTAGATCAACAAGAGGAACCTAATGCAATGCATGTACTGCTTCCAGAGCAATATAGAGAGTGACTATTTTGTAACTTGGTCAGAAAAGTGTTCAAATGTGCTGGTTAGTTCAGTAATATTACAAGAGAGTCATTCAGCTGTTGGCGGCTTTTATTTGGCTTAGGTTTACATTTTGCGTGGTGTTTACTTACCTTTTTGAGGAGCACGTATTGGGGGCTGATTTGCTAAATGTTATTAATGTCCTTCGGGAAAGAATGAGTCAGTGTCAGGGATGGTGGATCCTGTCTCGGTGTGACAGCTGGGACATGGGCGGGGAGCCGAGGGTCAGGGACACAGCCTGCAGGGTGACCCTCCGCTGTTCACAGTCACAGACAGCAAGTGGAGTGTTGGCACTGCGGAGGGTATCCTGCCCTCGTGCTGGGTGATGGTTTTCCTTTCTCTCCCTTCTACAGTGTCTTACTAGATTCCACGCCTTTCACTCAACACAAACGCCACAGCTATGGTTCAGCGGTTGACTCCTGTTCTCTGCAGCCTTGAAGCCCCCCACACATGCCCCTGGCACCCACACTGGCACCCACACATGCCCCTGGTCTGGCCTGGCTGCCAACTGCAGGTCCATGCACCTCTGAACAACCTTCCCTGCATCCGCAGGGCACAGGATTTGTTATCTTCTCCACCCTTGCTTGGGAGTTCTTCTTTGTGCGGCAGTTGAGTTGTATCCGCTCCCATGACCCAGTGACCCCCACAAAATTTTATATAAGCCATCAAATAAATAAAATACCACCTTTTAGATCGTGTTATGTTTCTTTAAAAGATCTGCATATTCTTGTGATATTTCCAAAAGTAGATCTTGATGACTTGTTTTTATTTGGACTTATTTTGGGATCCTAGCTCAAAAGTATCCATATCAAATTCAGCGGCCTCCAGGTCTCAAGGCTCTATGTACTCTCATTTGAAGGCCATGGGTTTGAGGCAGGAGTTTCTATAGTTTTCAGAGACAATAACTCTTATCTTTGTACTCCTCGGGTTTTAATTGTTGACATTGCTTGTTTTTCCATTGTGACTTTTCCCGTGGAATTTCCAGGGTCAAGCATCTTCTCAGCACATCAGGCAGTCTCTGTGTTGACTGCTGCGCATCTCGCAATGACCGTGCACCTAACAGGTTGTTCTGAAGCTGTTCATTTTCTTGTTTGCTTTTTGCTGTGACTTTTCCCTTGGAATTTCCAAGGTCAAGCTTTTGCAGCAGGTGATGTTCCCTCTTCGTCTCAGCACTTCGTACGGCCTCTTTATGTCGATCCTGTCCTCCCTGCAACTTGACTCTCCATACTAGACTGTTCAGTTAGCAGCAAGATATCCTCATACCCAAGGGAAGGCAGCTCACGATCCACAAGGCTCTTTCACGTGACCGAAGTCATCCAGGAATTCTAGCACCACGGGCTGGAGCCAAGCACTGGCCTCCCTGTCAGCAGGAGGAGCCCAAGGCTCTGTGGGGGATCCTTTTCTGCACTGGGGGTTCCTAGAGCTGCTTCCCCCACCACACACCCACCCACACACACACCCACACACACACACACACACACACACACAAATATTTATTTGCATAAGAACAGACTTAACCCAAACACCCTCCAGAGACCCAGGAAGCTGTCAGTGGTTAAAACTTAAGCAGTTCTGGAAGCCCCACATTCATGATGCAGCTCATGGGGAGCATGCAGAGACGTGAATGATGGGAGGGCTTGCTCCCGGGAGGCAGCAAGGAATCATCACCAAAGCCCTTCAACCACTGTCCCCTGTACCCACAGCCCTGCCCTCCCTTCTTCCCCTCCTGTTCCCCTCTTCCTGCCTGGAGGTGGCCACACCAAGGTGCCTCTCTCCAGAGATGGCTTTGAGAGCCAATCTCACCACAGGTTTGGGGCACCGGTGCACCCCACACCCTGCCCTGGAACCCTACTCTTCTAGGTTGTTTCTCCCTGATCCCATTAACAGTGTCTCTAAACGCAAGAACCTCACAGAAGCAGGCAGTCAAAGGACACAAATCAGACTTGAGTTGCTGTCGTGTGCCTTTTGAGGGCAGTGCACCCTTACAAAGCAGCGTTTTCTAACAATGCCCTCCTCTAACGTGTCCCAGGGTTTTCTTTGTGTAGAAGGGGCATGGTAGAGAGGGACCCCAACTGAATCCCGGAACTGCAGGCCTAGCTGCAAGACGTCCACACTGTGTGTGGTGAGCAGGGACCCTGGCACCTACAGAGCACTTCCTGCACCCTCTCAGGCTGGCTCATCGCTGGTAGCAGGAGAAAGCAGCCTGGCAGGAAGGTGCTGAGGGAGAATGTGCCACTGGGGGGCTCGATGACGAGAAACCCACCCTGGAGCACTCCCGGGCCGCACAATTTTGCTTAGAGAAGGAGCAGTCCCAGCAGACTCGAGTCACTCTGCACAGAGCAGGCGGAGGACAAGAAGAGCAGAGGAGACCACACCCTGGCTTCTTGGCGGCATCAGAGGCGCACTAGGGGCTCAAATGGAAGCAGATAAGCTTCTCTTGCTGGTTTTTACTCGCTTACCTGTTAACCCTGCCTGGACGAAAGCCAGGCAGGAGGCAAAGATAAGCCAGCAGCTTCTGACACGACTGGTTACCCCAAGACACCCCCAAATAAGGGCTGTGTCTCTCCAGATCAAAGAGCCAGCTTCCTGGAAAGGACCCATAAACCCACAAACAGATATTAAAACTCACGCATTTCCCCCAGCACCTGTCCCTCCCAAGCCCTTTTGTAAATGAGCAGGGGTCATTTACAAAAATCACAAGTCTAATGCCAGAAAGGTACTTGCTGGGCCCCATCTCAGAAAGCACCAAACCCAGCGCACGCGCGGTTCACCCCGGAGGGCCTTTATTGAAGCGTCTGCGGTGCTGAGGACTTGGCAGGTCACTGCCAGCAGCCGCGCCTGCCAGGACCAGGGACGAGCGCCTGTCAGGCAGAGCCACGGTTGTTTGCAGCTCGGGCAGAAGATCCAGCTTCCCCCACCGCCCTGCAGCAGTGTGTTGTGGGACTCGCCAGGCAGAGGCGGCAAACCCCGTTCAAAGGCTCAGAGGTTACAGAGCTGTGAGGTAGCCCGGCTTCCTCACTCATCACCGCGGACACACCACGGAGGCGAAGATAAAGTGGCCCCACGCCAAGGCAAACAGGCGGAGCAGGGAGACGGAAAGTCAACAGAGCGTGAAAGGAAGGGGAGAAGGAGTGGCCGGTGCCACACACGGCTGTGGCAGCAGACAGCCTGAGACAGTGCTTCCCTTTGAGGGGCGGGCTCCCCTTGCCCTCACCCTCGCCAGCTCCGCAGAGGCCAGCACCCTCATGACCCCACCTCCAGCAGGCTCCGGGAGCCAGGTGGCCCCTACCCACTCCTTCCACCCCCACAGTCTGCCTCAGGAAGCAAAAGAGCCTGGAAATGGCATGGCAGGGAAGGCAGGACTCCTCATCCAACTCAGTGGAGCAGGATGAGAAACAAACACACAAGCAACACCAGAAAGAAAAAGCAGATACGAGAACATGAACACCACTAAACCAGGTGTGGTGGCGCACACCTGTAATCCCAGCACTCAGGAGGCTGAGGCAGGAACATTTAGGGCTCAGGACCAGCCTGGGCTACACAGCAAGAACCTGTCTCAAAAAAGAAGGAAAAGAAAAAGAAACCATCTTTCCAGAAAGGACAGAATCCCAGGGCCCCAGAGGTCCTGCTCTTAGACCAGAACAGAAGCACGTCATTTGCAGAAATATGCAGCCGAGTTAAATGGGAGGCCGGCATCAACCTGAGGACTCCTTAAGGCCCAGCTTCCAGGAGACAGGTGTCTGTGGGCCCCATTGTCATGGTGACCAGCTCCCAGATAAGCCCCCCACCCCTCTTCCTGCAGTGAGCAGGCTCCCAGGCCCTGTCCAGACGGGCCCAGCCCGATGGACTTCCACAGAGCCCCCCACGGGGCCCTGTTTCCCACCCACTCAAGTCACCGCTCATTGAAATTACCACGGTTATTTCTTTAATTATATTTTTAAGACGAACAACATAGAACTGTTGACAGGGCAGAGAAACATTTTTTATAAAGCACAAAGAAGAAAACATGTTGCTATCCCAAGCTGTCTAATGCAGTCGACTCCACTGAGAGAAGGAACTGATTCCCTATGAACGCACACTCACGCACACACATACACACTTGTGCCCCACACACACACACACACACACACACACACACACACGTACCTTTTTCTCCCTGATATTTGAACTTTGGAATTCTTTGTGAACTAGCCATGCCTGTTTCTGCCGAACCCTTTAAAGAAGGAAGAAAGAAGAAAAGAGAAAGAAAGAAAGAAAGAAAGAAAGAAAGAAGCCATAACTTGCAGGCTTCTGGAGGAGCCACACTTCCGCTGTAAAATCTCACACAGCTGTCACCAGGCAAGGCCAGAACTGGTGAAAAGGTGGCCGCAGGGTGCGACCTCCTTGCACGGCTCCAGGGGGTTCTACGCGCACGGCCGCAGGCCTGCGGGCTCCTTGTAGACTGTGAGTCCGCCTAACCATAGTTCTACTATCGTCAGCAGTTGCTTTAAAAACTTTTGTTTTTTTAATCAACATGTTTCTACCCTTATCCTCTTGGTAAGGCAAAAAACCTCCCAGAGGAGGGGGAGGAAGGGGTGACATTTGAAAAGGACGCCCAAAGGGCAGCAGAGCCAACTCTCCAGTGCTGACTTGGAACCAAGCTTATGGTGAAGTTAAGAGCAGACGTTGGACACACACAGTGGAGCCAGAGCGTCACAAACTGTTTGTTTTGGTTTCCATGCTTTGGAGGAGAGGCGGCTCCCAGATCCTTCACCGGGCAGGATACCCACACACTGGAGAACAGGTTTCACCTGAAAGGAAAGAGCAGCAAGGGTCAGCGCACTGTGAGGCAGGGCCCCCACCAGGCCCACCCTGACCCTCCCTCGCAGTCTCCATCCCCGGACCACTGTCAGGTTCTCCTCCCCTTCTCAACCCCTGCCACACAAGCTGTCTTTTCAGCCCCTGGAAGCTCCACATCCCCCAACCACTGGGCCTTTGCACGTGCTGTCTGAAGAGCACATTCCAGTCTTCCCTCAGCGCCCAGCCCAAGCCCCTTCCCTAGCTCCCCACATGGTCCCCCTAGGACACAGCCACCTCTCCCCTGGTAGCCCTCCTTCCCAGCCCTTCTACAGGTGTCTGCGCCAGGAGTCAGCAAACTATTTCTGCGAAAGTCCAAGAGTAAATATTTTAGCCTGAGCACATCCTGCAATCCCTCCTCTGTTCTCCGGCTCATGATGAGGTGGGCACCGGCACTCCCGCCATGCCATCTACCTCACCACAGCGCCAAGCAACAGGGCCCACCATGGGCTCAACCTGCTAAGCTGAACTAAAATAAACCATTTCTCTTTTTAAGTTGATCATCTTGGGTATTTTGATACAGTGATGGAAAGCTGACTAACGCGGCTGTGTAAAAATACACAGTGGGCTAGACTTGGCCTATGCCTAGACCTTCATTTTCTGCCCCTAGCCGCCGGCCAATTTACACAAGTATCTGACTGTGTCCGTCTCTCGCTTACAGTGGGCACTTGGACAGGCAAGAGCCACGCTGAGGATTTCTCACCTCTAAAGTCTAGCCCCAGAACAGTATCAGACAAAGCAGGGGTTCAAGAAAGACTAGTGCAGAAAGCCTTGTGAGAAAGTAAATTTAAAAACAAATCATTCAAATTGTCATCTAAAGGAGCTTAGGAAAGGAAGGGAGATCTGAGCACTAAAGCTGCGACCATCTCCTGCAGGTGTTAGGCTACAGGTATTAGAAAATATAAAAATGAAGGTTCAGCAGGATTTGAGGACTGGTGAAGCTTTCAGGGACCAACCATCAGAGCAGCACACAGGCCCAGCCGTCCACAGCCACCTGCAGCAGACGCGCCTGTGGATCCAAGCAGACTACAGCAGCCACGGAACCCAGGAAGAGCCATCCTCGGGATCCCCAGGGAGACAAACTCTGCAGCACCAGAGCATAGTGCCCTCACCGGCCAGGGCGTCCAAGAGCCCACATCTGGAGGGCTCTCCGGAGCACACCTGGGGGTCCTCTACCAGGTCCCATGCTTTCACTCTGTCCCACAGGCTGCAGTCTATCCCCCTCACAATTTTATTATTGTAAAAATAAACAGCCCTCCTACAGTGCCCCGGTGTAAGGGGGACCCCACTGTTCATCACAAGCACCTCACAATTCCTCCGCTCTCCCCACCACGGATCTAAACCTCCAGGATGTGGGGTGAGCCCAAAAGCCTTCCAAGGCCAACAGCTGAGTGTACTTAGCAACAGCAACAAGGTCCCCTGGGGACTTGGAGCCCCTGGCTTTGGGCCAGGATAAGCGAGCCAGGTTTGTTTTTCGCTTCCACGCCCAGCCTGCCCCACAGCAGCCTTTCGCAGCAACCAGCACTGAATGCCCTTTGTTCCCAGCACAAGATGCCAGGCACAGTGCTCCGCCTTGCAGCCAAAATCTCGCCAGTTGCTAATTATATTCCTGCAGGAAGCTCTACCCGCAAAGGAGGCGGGGCGGGCATGTTTAGAATGCAAGGCCACACCCCCACGGGTGCCACATCCCTTTCCCCAAATAACCAGGGACAAACACCTCCCTCTTGGCAGGAGGCAGGGCTGGCAGAGCAGTGGTTCTCCCAGCAGCACACCTTTGGGCTGCGCTTGTCGCGGCTGCAGGAACACCTGCCACACAAGTGAGAGGAAGAGCCAACATCTGCCTTGCCTTGGGGATGCCTAGAGGGTGTGACAAAAGTCCCCTGTAATAAACCAGCAATGCGCAGAGTCTCAGATCTCCGCAGCCACAGCACACTAGGCCAGCCAAGCTCAAAACACAAGTGAGATCCAAACGCCTCTTAAAATATGGAAGCATTTCAAAACCCCAGGGCTGTCTGTATTCCACTGAGCTATCATCTCCCACTTCTAATTAGCCTTTTTAAGTACAGAATCGGGAACACATTGGAATGGGTTACCCCCACCCTGCATCTGGCCCATACTCGGCACATGGATTATAACACCCCAGCTGCACAGAGCCCCAAAAGAGAGCTGTTGACAAAAGCTTTCCCCTGCTGCGTTCCTCTTCCCTGCTGCAAGGAAGCCGAGCACAGACTCTGAGTCACAAAGCATTATCAAAAGTTACCTGAGCAGTGGTAAGAGGCTCATTACCATCCCACTGCCCTGGAACCAAAATCACCATTTTCTTCTTTCCACTGGATCATGAAATAACCCCAAGCTATGACAGCCACATCCAATCTAAACGTAGCTCATTTCCTACAGAGAATCAAAAATAATGTGGTCGAGCTGTGACTCAACAGGAAAAGAAAAGAGGTTCCTGGGAACACACTGTCCAGGTACAGACAGAGAAGGCCTCAAAAACATGACACCACAAAAACAAACAAAACTGATCCTAAAATCTGCTCTATGTCTGTTGACCTGAAAAGTTGCTTGTGACCTATGGAAAAAGGTCCCTCTGGAACAGCAAAGAAAAGTTCCACAGATACGTACTCACACACACTCTAGTGGCTACTGTTAAATAATGAGATGACAGTGAGGTTCTTTTTCCCTGTTCCTTTTCTGCAGTTTTCTGTAGATGTATTCCACCTGTGATAAGAAAACCTATTACTACTCCATCTACACAGCCCATCACCTTCAGGCCTGAGAAGTGGGATGGCCTTGGGTCCTGTGATTCATCTCCAGATTCATCCACATCCTGATTTTCTTTCAAACTCAAACAGTACAAACTTCTAAAGAAAGTAACATGAAGTTTGGTCCTTCAGGACAAACGGGGAGGCCGTGGCTGACAAGACAGTGAATATCTGTGAGAAGCAGCTAACACAGGTGAGGTCACGGAATAAATGCTTGTACAGACAACCAAACTGGAACAAAAGAGCTAAATATGCCACGCAGGAGGTCAGAAAAACAGAACACATCCAAAGAAAGCTTAAGAAGGGACACAGTAGGGGGCTGGGGATTTAGCTCAGCGGCAAAGCGCCTGCCTGGCAAGCGCAAGGTCGTGAGTTCGGTTCCCAGTACCGGAGAAAAACCAAAAAAAAAGAAGGGACACAGTAATCAACTGAAATTGAAATAATAACAAAGAGGATCAAAGAAGCCAAACATGAGTTCTTTGTATAGGCCAAACCTGAGTTCTTTGTGTAGACGTAAGACTGATTAAGAAAAAGGATAAAAGGCAAAACTAATGTCTACATCTCTGGGACAGTATTTAGAGTGTGAAAGGGACCATTTCCATCCATGTTACAAAGAAGTATAAGAGGATAATAAAAGAATGTTGGGAACAACTTAGTATGACACATTTGAAAATTCAGATGAAATGGACAAAATCCCCCAAAACTACAACTCTTTAAAACTGACCCAACAGGGGCTGGGGATTTAGCTCAGCGGCAAAAGCACCTGCCTGGCAGGCGCAAGGTCATGAGTTCGGTTCCTGGTACCAGAGAAAAACCAAAAACCAAAAAAAAAAAAAAAAAAAACTGACCCAAGAAGAAATAAAGATTAAATAGTCCTATAACTCTTCAAAGAATTGAACATCAGTGGTTTTAAGAATTCCTTTTATACAAAAAACCATCAGCCCCAGCCAGTTTCAGCATGGTCTACTAAACATTTAGGAAACAATTTTAATCTGATGCAAACTATTCCAAAGAAGAAGAAAATAAGGAAATATACCCCTATTTGTTTTATGAGGCTAGTAAAATGTTTACCTAAGTCCAACAAGGACATTATGAAGTAGAAAAATGACTGACCGGCTTTGTCATTAGACACAAGAAAGTCTGGTGAAATATTAGGAAACTAAATTTAGTAATGTGTATAAAAATAGCACAATAAGCCAGGCATGGTGGTGCACACCTGTAATCTGAGCACTTAGAAGGCTAAAGAAGGAGGATTGCTCCAGCCTGTGCTACAAAGAGAGTTCAAGGCCAACCTGAACTGCATAGTGAAGCCCTATCTCAAAAAGATAGATAGATGATAGATACATAGATAGATAGATAGATAGATAGATAGATAGATAGATAGAAAGAAAAAATAACATGACCAAGCTCTCTTCATCTCAGAAATGCTAAACTGGTTTAATATGAGAAAATTAATTAATATAAATTCACCACCTTAACAGAATAAAGAAAAAAAATCTGACCTTCTCAAGAGTTAGGTAAAGCACTTAATAAAATGTAACATTACCATACAAAGACTAAAGGAAAACTATCTAGAGGAAAAAAATAGACAAAAACCCTACAGTAATCACTACTCTTAAGAGGTCTAATATTGAAAGCATACTCTAAAATCAAGACTAAGACAGGACACGTGTTTTCACCACTTCCGTTTAACACGGAAGTGTTAAACGGCCAAGAGTACAAAAAGCCTTTTAAAAAAGAGAGAAAATGCGTACATCCTAGGGAACAGACCCTCAGTATTCCCAATGACCTATCTATGTAGAAAACCCAAAAGGATCCATATTTATAATATCAGAATTAATAAGGGTTTGGCAATGTTGCTGGATTTTTTTTTGAAATGTCTTTAGAAACAAACTGCCATGAACAGAAAGGTTTTAAAAATTTTATTTCTTTGAAAAAAATCAAAAAATAGGTCACAAATCAAGTGATGGTAGCTTGCACAGGAGCATGGGAGTTTTTGTTGGGGGTGGTACTGGGTATTTAACCCAGGGCCTTCAAACTCAGCTAACAACTCCATCTCCAGTCCTTTTTTTTTTAAAGGAAGGGTCTTGCTAAGTCACTCAGTTGCCCAGGCTAGCAATCCTGACTCTGCTTCCCAGGTGCTGGGCCTCTCAGCCACACGCTACTATGCCTAGCTGCATAGGAGCCTGTTTTTGAGGCTGTCTCCAAGTGACCGCAGAGAGAGTCTGACAGCCCCAGGAGGAGAAACCCAGGCATGGAGATACAGCCCATGGGACAGGGGGTTCACTGTAGCCAAAGGCCTGAAATCCATAATAGAAATGGATTGGCCAGGTGCTGCGTTTCAGCCTGGAATGGGGGCAGAGGAGACACTAAGGAGCTGGATGGAGCTAACAGGTGTCCTTGACCCAGAAGCACCAACCCTGAAGGTTTCTGGGCTGCTGCTGCACAGCCAGCAGGGAGCACTTTAGGGAGAGTAGCTTCCGAAATGCTCCAGAGCCGCCTGCAGACCTGGTTTCTACCGTAGCTGACGTCGGCCTTACAGCAGGCCACAGAGTAAACTTGCCCTTCTGAAAAGCAAGAGCATTTTCTGTGACATCATCACCTAGCAAGTGGTCAGTGTCATGGTTTACTTTCATAGTGAGTTTCAGAGCCAGCAGCAGTGCCCATACAGGTCTGTCAGCCTAGAAACAGAACTCACTCTGTTATTTGAAGAACTAGACCCATCGTGGAAGTTTCTCAATCTGACAGCGGTGTCAACGTGAATCTCACCTTCATTACACCAGCCATACGACCAGTCCATCAACATGTATGCCGTAACAGTGCTGGCATCCATGTCCTCAAGAAAGGGCCCCTTTTCCCACCTTATGTTAGAATCCATAGATGGAATTTCAGAACAAACAGACTGTTTTAACTCCCCATTTCAGATCCTTTCTTATCTAGTGAGATGTAAAGATGTCATAAAAACAGCTTCGTTTCTTGTGGCCCCCATGAAGGTAGTTCAGAATCAAGTGTGGATGAGATGCTGTTTGGTGGCTCAGAATACAGCAGTAGGACCCGGATCCACATGTGCATGTCGTATAGGAAGCGAGGGGCCTCAGCAGGAAGCCAGCCCTGCTTATTATGGAGAATAACGAAGGCATGGTTTCCTTCTTGTGAAACGTTATTTCTCTGTATTGAATGTATGGCTTAGCAATAAAATCAGTATAACCATGAATAATCCTGTGTATATATCATTTTGCAGTATGGATAAATATCACTAATTGATTTGACTTTTTTCAAAAGGTGTTGTTCCTTGTCTAAAAAGCTAACTACGGCTAGTGAATCTTCTCCCACTCTGCTATCTACAACCAACATTAATGTTTAATTTTTCCTTATAAAATTTAGGTGTGACTCATTAACAAATTGTTCCCGAAATTGATTTGTATGCAAACATGATCATACAGCCATGTTTTTACATATGAGTATAAATACACTATGTATTTTTAAGGTCATATTTGTGTGCATGTGTGTGTGTGTGTTTGTATTTGTAGAACATCTAGGAATACATCTAACAAAAATTTATTTTACTTTATGGATCAGTTTTTAAAAGCACTGAAAGACATTGTATAAAATACCTAAATAAGCTGAGTGTGGTGGATTACACACCTATAATCCCAACCCTCTGGGAAACTGAGGCAGAAAGATTTAAAGTTCAAACCTAGCCTGGTAACTTAGCAACTTAGCAAGACTCTGTCTCAAAAAATAAAAAAAGGGCTGGGGATGTAGGTAGCTCAGTGCAAAGTTCCTGGGTACAATCCCTGGTACTGCAAAAAATAAGACACCTAAATAAATGGAAAGTCATTCCATACTCAAGGATTGGAAAATTGAACATAAAGGAGGTAATTCTCCATGAACTGACCTACAAGGTCAATGCAGTTCCAATCAAAATCCTAGATGCTGTGTTGTTGAACCTAGCTGCTGGTTTATGCAGAAGGACCCAGAGCTGAGGGCAGCCAAGATTATGAAGAACCAATCACAGGTGCGGAAAGCAGTCATCCCAGGCACAGAGAAGCCAGGCAGCAGGAGAAACCTCAGGCTGGAACTCAACCCCTCTTCCTCCCTGAGCCTGCAAGCCTTCACCTCCACACTGCGCTCCCCCAGAGCCACCACTGTGACTCTCATATTCCAGGTGCACCTCGCAAGGATCTAAGGGCCCGCACTGCAGTTCAGTCACAGTCATTGTGACTTTCCTGCAGACCACCGTTAGGAAACACACCTGTCCATGGAGCTCATCGGTAAATTCCATCCATCCAGGATGGACCCCCATGCAAGTGATGCGGAAGAAGTTTCTGGCAGAGTGTGTGGCACACGCACTGCTCCAGCCAGACCCCAGGCCAGTGCTCAGCCAGCTTGCTGTCTCCAGTTCAACCCTCTTGCTCTCCCTCCCTTAAAGCCAAAGTAGCCTCCTCACTTGGGAAAAGCAGGCAGTAACCATCCTCGGCTGAGTTTCTGGATGCTGCGTGTCTCAGGAGGTGGCAGATCGCTCCCTCTGGAAACGGAACACCCTCACACCTAACACTTAACCAGAGAACAAGCCCACTGTGGGCCAGGCCAGGGCTCACAGCGCTGTCAAAGGCGAAGGGTCCCCTCTCCTCCGTGAGCCCAGGAGGAAGCCTCTGTCCCCACCCTTCACCTGTACTTGATGTCAAACACTGTGGAGTCCTCATCCTCATCATCCTCTTCATTTAGCGGGGCCATTTCCACGCGCTCGGCGGGAGTGGTGATAATGTCATACTTGCGGGTCTTCTTTAACCTCTTCCCTGACCTGCAGAGGAGAAGCACATTCGTGAGAGAGCAACAACAGAGATGCCAGTGGGTTCCTTCCTCCCATAATCCTGACTGTAGTAAACCTGCTGTGGCCTCTGGCCTGGCCACTCAGGCTGCCCAAGTGACCCACTGAAGATCCAGTGAGCCCTGGATAAGACCTCACAGACTAAGTTACTGAGCTTGCTACTCCGTGTGGCCCCCACTCACACGGCAGAGACACCGGCTCTAGCACCAACAACTCAGAAATCAAGATTTATAATCTGAATGCAGTGTTTTGGTTTTGCTTTGCTTTGCTGCTCTGGGGATTGAACCTGGGGCTGCATTCATGCCAGACAAGTGCTTTACCACCGAGCTATGTTCCCAGCTGAATACGACATTTTTAAAAGGCAAAAGCCATGCCAAGATAATCCATGGTGATCAAAGGATTCAGTAACAGGATCGGGCACAGCCGAGGAGATCTGAGTCAGAGCTTGACCACACCCTATTTGTGTGATCCGAGGAGGTCAATGAATCCCTGTGAGCCTCAGTTTCCTCATCAGTAAACTGGGATGGGATGGCCTTCCTCGAAGGAGAGGGAGATCACCCAGGATGATGCACTAATTAACACGCCTGCATGTAAGGAGCTCTCAGTGAGTCATTGTTAGCAATGACAATAAATAACAAGAGTCAAACATGCTCTATCCTTTCTCATACAAGGACTTGTGAAAATGAGTCAATATGGTTTTCCTCCCAAAGATTTACAAGAAGAGTTGGTTATAACACTGCACTGCTAGCTTTGGAAAGGCAGAGAATCATTGTGGGCCACAGGGAAAGGCCTGACACCAGCCATGGCGTGAGACTCACTGCATGAAGGCTGCAGTACTTACTGGGCATGGCTGGATGGCTCATGATGCCACCTAGGAGCGATGCTCTTGTTATGACCACCAATGCTCTTTGCATTTATTCCTCCACTACTGTGGACCTCTCCCCAGTTGCTTTGTATTCTCAGCTGTCCTCCTTTTTAAGAATATTTGATGCTGTTCCTGAGAAACCAGCCAACCCAAAAGACCCTAAGCAGGTATGGAAGAATCGTGTTCCCTACATCTTCTTCCCACAGACTGTAAGCCGTTCCCATGGAGACCACATCAGAGACACAGGCGAGATCTCTTTGTCCTCAGCACAAAGAGACTCTTCCATAAGTTTGGAAAATGAATGAAAACAGAACTTCACTTTCAGGTTTTCTTAAAAAAATTTGAACAACACCAACTTGCTCTTGTCTGACCTAATCTGATTTAGTAAAACTAAGATTTACCAAAGCGCCACACTGTTTACATAACAAATCTTAGTACCGTATCTTTGGTATAAAACAACTTACAGCACCTGCTCCTTGGAGTTGTTTGGGTAAAAAAGAAGGTGGGGGAGGACTTTGGGAAAAAGGGAGAATCCAGCCATCAAATCTGATGGTCTCCAGCCTTGTTGACAAACAGTTTCTCCTTCCCGTGGTCTTCACAAATCTTAGTTACTTTTCTTGTTGCTGAGACAAAATACCCAACATCCAAAGGTAGAGGAGCAGAGGTTTATTTCAGCTCATAGTTTGCACAGGTTTCAGTCCGTAGTCATGTCGTTCCAAAGCAGGGTGGCGTGGCAGAGGGCCATCACAGGGGAGGAATGTTCCATGGCAGGACAGGTGGGAAGGGAGAAAGTAACAAAGCAGCAAGCCTGTCTCTCCTTTTTCTTCCATCCAGGCTACCAGCCTCAGAGTGGGCCTTTGCTTATCCACCCGCTTAATCCCAGCATCACACCCTTAATCTATTAGCACACCCTAATCCAGCCACCCACAAAACTCCCCATGTATGAGCGCATGAGGCTTTGGGGGGACATCTAGATACACACCATAACATCACGGTACACACACAGGCACAGGTGTGGGTCCACCTGGATTCCAATGACAGGATGAAGAGTACAGCAAGGGCCAGGACTGGTGTTCAGAGGCTAAGCCTGAGGTACACAGACAGTCCCATCACCAGGGACCCAGAATGGTTTTACATGCAGAACTTCACAAACACATTTGGCCCCACATTCTCCCCACCTCTGTCCTCAGGGAAAAAACCTTCACATTCTTCCCTAAATGGTTTACCGTCTCTGAGCAATTCCATCCCCAATTCTGGATGGGGGAAACTTAAACTCAGAAAGGCTCCTTGTGTCACAAGCAATCCACAACAAATCCACAAGAAAAATCAACCATCCTCAGACTCCCAGTCTACACCTACTCGGACCCACATTACCACGCCTTTCTGAAGAACACAGCCCTAAATCGCCTCCTGGGTGACTCTCAGCTGTCTGGAGGGAGCACCTGGCTTTGCAGAGGGGCGGGGCTCCCTGCTCTGTCCCCAGCACCAAATGCCTGAGCTAAAGAAGCAGCAGGGATGTTTTAGAAAAGGGCATACCTGTGAACCCAAGGACTTGCAAGAGCCCCCTGCGACCCTCAAAGTGACCACGCCCAGACAGTGTCAAGCTGAGGGGTCATGGCTGTTTGTAACTCTTCTCCAGGTATCATGAAAATAATCCTGAACCCCCAATATGACACTCGTGTGATGGTGCACGTTATGCGTGTACTTGACAGGCCTCCAGGGTGCCCAGGTAGAAGAGCGTGCATTGCCCTCAGGGTGCCTTTGAAGGTGTTTCTGGATGGGGTTAACATCTGAAGAAGCAGAGCCAGCAAAGCTCCCTGTCCTCCCAGGGTGATGGCCTCATTCAATCAGGAGAAGGCCCCATAGAAGAAAAGATGGACCCTCCCTCAAGGAACAACTCCCACCCAGCCACTTCAGCTTTTACCCAGCTTTGGACTCACACTGAAACGCTGGCTCTCTCTGGCTCTCGTGCCTACACTTAGACTGGAACCTACCCCACGGCCTCCTTTTGGTCTCTAGTTTGCAGGGCATAGAACTTGAACCTGTCAGTCTTACAATGCTCACAGTGTCACAAGCTCCCTTCCAGTAATATGTCTCTCTCCCTCCCTGTCTATACGCACACACACACACACACACACACACACAATTGGTTCTGCTTCTCTGGGGAGCCCTCCGAAGTACAAAGAGCCATTAGCAAGAGCCCTCATGCGTGCTTCAAATGCCAGTTTTGACATAACGAGCTGGAGAAATTACATCTCAAACAAACAACTCTGAAAGACAACACTTTTTCACAAAAAAAAAAAAAGAAAAGAAAAGAAAAAAAGCAATTTCTGCTGTTGCACTGCTGGGTGTGTTAATTAGGGGAAACTGAGACTTGTGAAATAGTTAAAGACACTGAGCTCCATCCTTAGCAGAGGTGCACAATGCGACAAGCCGGAGGGAAGCTGCAGAACATATGAATTGGCGGGGAGGGGCATTCCTCACATTACAAGGGAGAGCCTCCCTTCACCAGCAGCCTGCCAGTTACAAGCAGGGCAGAGTGGATCCACACTGTCCACGGACCTTCAGGTCCCCCCGCCCACCAGACCCAGGTCGGAGAACTGAGCCATCATGGCGTAGACAGGGAACACGGGAGACGGGAAACGCAGGGCACCAGGAGCCTAAATAACCTGCCAGGTCCCACCGCGCCTCTCTGCGTGTAGACACTACTACTCAGTGCTTGCCTTGTCTGAGTACGTTTTTTTCTCCTCTGAAACCAGGGCCAGACTTAATCCCCACTTGGAGGGTGGAGAGAGTGGAGACAACCTGGGGTTTAGAGGTTTTAGAAGGGCTCGGCAGGGGCTGGGGATTTAGCTCAGCTGCATAGCGCCTGCCTGGCAAGCACAAGGTCATGAGTTCGATTCCCGGTACCGGAAAAAAAAACAAAAAACATAAAAAAAAAATTAAAAATTAAAAAAAAAAGAAGGGCTCAGCAGTCATCAGAGTGGAGCATTAATACTGATACTGGTGACTTCGTAACAGCAAGGAACCACACCCAAACACAGTGTCTCTTGCCCTGTGACGATGTCTTGTGCCTCGTAAGAACTCCGCCAGCAAAGCCACCACCCGGACTGCAGCTGAAGCTGTGAGCGAAGATAAACCTCTCTTCCTTATAACTTACCCAGTCTTTGTATCAGCAACAGAAAACAGACTAACACCGTGGCTTTTTTTTTAAACAAGACCTCACTAAGTTGCCAAGTTGCCCAAGCCGGGTTCAAACTTACTGCCTTTTCCTCCTCCTGCCTTAGCCTCCCAGAGTGCTGGGATTATAGGAGTGTGCCACCACGCCCAGCAATACTGTATCCTTTTGCCTTACTATGAGTCTACGGGGGTTGGAGGTAGAGCTCAGTGGTTCAGTGCTTGGCTAGCGTGCGTAAGGCCCTGGGTTAGATCCACAGCACCACAGACACTAAAAGGGTCTTAATCATGGTCCTCACGAGTTGAGCTCTTGCTGGGTGGTGGCACAGCAATTCCAAGTATGTTCACGTGCACAACTTCTAAATAACCCCATAGGCACCTGTCACTGTCAGCTCTTACAGCTGAGGAAACTTAGCCTCAGTGAGGTCACCCGGAATAACCCCACATTTGCCAAGAGGTGCTGCGCCAGCTTGTTGCTTCCATCCCTCCCAGCATGACCCCAGCACACCTTGCCACCACTTTATTTTAACCCTGAAAAACCTTTGCCGTCCCTACACTTCCTGGAACGTGTCACTGAACACATCACATGGATCTAGACACACTCTCCTCTCTGAAGTAAGACTCCTGTAGGGCATGAGCGGGCCGGAAGCCAGCCAGCATCCTCCATCTCCTCCTATTAGCTCTGTATCCTCCATGCCTGGCCAAACTTCAGCTCCAGGAGAGGCCCCCAGGAATGAAGCCTGAGCCAATCAGTGCACTGCAACCTTCTAGCTAGCCAATGGCAGAGGACAGAGGAGGAAAGCATGACCAATCAGAAGACAGAAAGTAAGACCTGAAAGAGGGCAGGCTGAGGAGAGAAAGGGACAGAGGAAAAGAGCCAGACTTATGAAGCTAGACCTGGAAAACTGCAAAGCTGTCTACACTTTCACCA